TTAAATTTAAGTTAATATTACATAATGTATATCTGATCCTTTTAAAAAGTTTGTTCCACTATGAGAGATTAAAGTATATTATCCATAATATTCAGGGTAGGTTGCATCATTTATATATTCTTAATTCAAATATTGAGAGTCTAAATATAATAATATAAGATACAAGGCGTTTAATTATCGTAATCAAACAATAAAGACCATTAGATTTCTGATACAGAGCTGAGCAATAGCTTATACAACTACCATCTTGATAAATATAGTATCTTTACAAGTATTACATTCAAATGATTTCACTCAATAAAATATCTCTTACTCTACATCGACCTATTAACAATTTTAAGAACAATATCCAGAAGTAATTTAGATTTCAAAAATTCACCAACCTACTGTGCCATCACTAATCTTAATAAATGATTATTTACGTATAATTCCCTTTTGCTGAAAATAAAAATGAATATTTAGGAAGGAATATGTTAAATAAGATTCCTAATTTGAAGAATAGTTTGAAATTTTTAATTTATTTATGAGTTTAAATTCTAAAGGCATTTTTATAAATAGATCCATAATAAGTATTATTAATCATAAACTACATTCCACAATTAACTGGAATATCATTAAAAAAGGATATTTTTACTTTTAACCCAATTAAATAGGTTGCATACAAATAGGTAGACAACCCTTTGAAATATCTATAGATCCCAGAATTAAATTTAAATACACCAAATATATATGGATTTACAGCAATAATTTTTGGAGAAGTATCTACATGCTGTTAGTCATATATTAACTACCATTTCAAATCTTAAGAGTTGGTGCCTCTTGCTATACAATATTCTATAGTAGAAACTATATTATATTAATTAATAATAATTACTAAGATAATTTTACCAAAATCCATTCGAATAAAATGGAGAGTAGATTTCACAAATTTCTTTGCATCCATTTAACCTCTATTAATATTGATTAGGTGGACAAGTTGGAAAAATGTTTTTTGGTATTCCATAATAGCATTATGTACACTAATTATTCTCTGGACCTGTGCATGAAATACAAGATGGATAATATTATCGTTTAGAGACATGAATATTTTTTAATGAAACCTATCCTTAAATTGCATTAGATGTAAATTTAATTTAGCCAGAAATTTAATTTGTACCTGTTGTTAATTGGATAGTAAAATTTACTGTTCTGACTTCAAAAGGAAGAGATTACAAAATCCCGGGGGAAGTATAGGAATATTTATAAGAAAAATTAATCTAATGTAAATTAAAAAATTTGAGATGACCATGTACCTTGTTAATATAAATCCACAGATATCCAGTATCCATCCATGAATGTGTAGTAAAAATAATTTTGAGAAGATGTATGTGTATTATCTAAAAAATGTAGCTTGGGGTTGTACAAGTAATAAGTTTGCAGTAGTTTAGGTTGATGGCTCTAGTAAATATCCAGCAGAATAATATGCTTGCTTCTGTAGTAAATTTCTGATCAGAGTTTAATAAATTAGTATAGGTTATCCAGTATGTATATGAAACTTCAATCAAAGCCAAGAGGAAATAGATCAAAGTCTCCTATAATAGAACTTTTTTAATAGAATTTCAAAAATTTTCAAGTTGTTAATAGGAATCAAAAAATTTCTAAAAATTGATAATCTTTATAAATAAAATGTTGAAATTCCTTTAGAAATAACTTTAAATTACTAAATAAGAAATCTGTTACATTAAATAAAAGAATTAAATTA